TCCTTCATGCCTCCCTTAGACTCTGTATGCACCTCTCCAAGGAAGTACACTTCACTGTTTATTTGTATCTGGCCTTTATTATTTTTATGAATAAGGCAGTGAATATATCCAACATATCTTCCTTCTCCTATTTTCCCCACAACCACCACCACCCTGTGAAGTAGATTGGGCTGAGATAGACTGACTGACCCAAAATCATACAGCTCGTTTTCATGACTAAGGCAGGATTTGAACTCAAGATCTCCCATTTTCTAGCCAGGTGCCTTAACTATTTGACATTTAGGAAACCTGATTTAGAACTCTTATAATTTGATGCAAAGTGGCTAATGGCCTAAGATGTATAGTTTAATAATATATTAAGAATCCTTACAAAGCTTAATAGCATTTCAATTTTTTTTTCCAGAAGAAATAATATTTAGATTTAAAGAGTTTGGGGACATATGCATAGATGTTTTGCTATTTGGGAAATTTCAAAAATAAATGGGTGGTTTCACAATAACTGTTTCATACAGATTTTGAATACATGAGACCAGATAAATATCTGAGGGTTAAATGCTTTGCATTGCATAGCAGCACAAGTGCAACAGCAAGCTTTCCTTCTTATTTTGTGGGGAGAGACTCTTGTGGACATGATGAGGCTTGACTGTGCTAAGTAAGAAACGCTTAAGTGAAAAAGAAAAAAAATGAATGCATTTGGGCTATGTAACGATGCAACATTTTCAGCTTTTGAAGTGTTTTGACCTGTAGAATAAAAGAAGGTCTAAAAGATGAATAGTGTTTCAACTTGCAGAAAACAGATTTCAGTTTAAAGTGTTCAAACTTGCAGTTTTGTGACAGCTGATCAGAGACTGATAATTTCCATTTGATTCTGTTCCAAATGGATTGGGAGGGGAGGGGGACACATGGTGTGTGACCTTGCAAAGGGACTCTGAATCTTTTCTACTTAACATTTGGAAAGTGGGAAAAAGAGTATTGCTTATTAAATCAATTAAGCTTTCCAGCTTCAGCAGGAACATTTCTAAAGCAATCAGATTTGAAGCAAATATAAACAGAGATAGCAACAAAACCAAGTAATTAAGTAGGCTTTCTTTTTTATTTGTTATCCTAGGAATTCAGTAACTTGGAAGAAAAAAGTATATTGTTTATTAACTGATCACACTGCTAATGATATGATCTGAATCAACAACTAATATGTTTATAATACCAAAAATAGATCTTTTTAATTCTATTTTTACTTGCTTCATTATTTTGTTATTATGTTTAATTTTTAAAAATAACTTATTTTGGATGTTCTTTTAAGTCATCTTTCTCTAACCTGTCACCCTTCAGTTGCATTGGGTAATGTAGAATTTCTATTTAGCCTGGAAAATTCTTGTAAAGAAGTCCCAATAAGTCTGCCAGGTTTACAGATACCACTAGGAAGAGTTTCTGTTCCCGCTTTTACTTAATAATGGTACATTCTAGTATCAGTACTAGAATGAGTCCTAGTACTCATGTATGGCATGAGAAGCTAGTATTACCTGAAATTAATTTAAAAACAGGGTTATATGTGGAATGGGGAAATATGTTTTGTTTCCAACCTGGAACAAACAACAGGTAGTTCTCGACTTACAACAGTTCATTTAGTGACTTCAGAGTTACAATTAAAAAATGAAATGAAAAAGTGATTTGTAACTGTTTTTCACATTTACAACCGTTACAGCATTCCCGAAGTCATGTGATCAAAATTCGGATGCTTGGCAACTGGTTCATACTTAAGAAGGTTACAGTGTCCCGGGATCATGCGAACTCCTTTTGCAATCTCCTGACAAGCAAAGTTAGTGGGGAAGCCAGATTCACTTAACAACCATGTCACTAAATTAACAACTGCACTGATTCACTTAACAAGAAAGAAAGCTCTTAAAATGAGGCAAAACTCATTTAACAAATGACTCACTTAGCAGCATAAATTTGGAGCTCAATTATGGTTGTAAGTTGAGGACTACCTGTATTATGTTTGAGAAATTCTGCTAAACAGTACCCCGTACCACCATGTTTACCAGAGCTGTAACATAGAATGCTTTGTTCTGGGTTCCAGATGAAGCAACAGTTTGCCAGAGAAATAGAATAAAGCTGGTGCATGGGACACTGTGTCTCACCCCATCTCTCCCCAGTGGCTTCCATCCCATCAGCTTCCCATACTGCAGTCTTTTTAGTGCCTTCTTTCCCTGCCTCCCTTCAGCCACTTATAGTATGACAAAAAGGTTATCTGGGTAGCCTGTAACTGCAGCTCTTTCAAACAACTGGATCTCTTTCTGCAACCATTTGTCCATCCTTTGTGGCTTCAGTGTGATTCCAGGAGAAGAGACATCTGCACAGGAGTTGCACTCACTGAAGCACCTTTTCCCCCTCAGATGCAAACTGATGCACAGCTTGAGAAGACTGTTGCTTATAGTGCCATAACAATCTCTCCTTTGGCAAACCTTTTATGTAAGCATTCACAAGGTTCTCTTAACATTATAGGCAATATGCTGACTCTGTAAACTGCTTTGAGAGTGCTGTAAAGCATTATGAAGCAGTATATAAGTATCAGTGCTGTTGCCATTATAGTGAACCAGAAGGCCAAACAATTGCCTACTTTTGATGTAACTACAGTAAATATTTACCTGTTACTTAGCGTCATTGAGATATACTTCTTTTTGGCTGTCAGGAAAAATACAATCCTAACTCACACATTTTTACTTACTGTACAGTTGACAAGAATTAATCAACTGTCTTCCTTGGTGGGTTTGTTTTTAACAGGGTGTCTTTGTGCATGGGTGCTGTCAAACTGACGAAGGGGTTAGGGATGGGGAAAGCTACCTGAACTATATGAAAGCAGGTGAACCAAACCACTATCATTTCTAGCCCCAAAAGAGAGTTCATTGTCTTTTTTTTTTTTTGGAACCCTGAACACCCAGAGACAGTCTAAGTAATTGCACTTTTGAACAGCATTCTTCTATAATTCTGTGTGCTTTATTTATACATACAGAAAATGAGGCCCTTAATCAATGTATCACGTGTTCAGCTTGAGAGGTTTCTTAGGGCTTATATTGATTTGCACTGTAAAATAGCAAAGAAGGCAATTGTTGAAAGGATTAATAGTTCTTTATTATAGAGGAACAGAGAAGGTTATTTGTTGAGCAGCAGTTTATCAGCCAAGTAGCAGTGACAGAACTCTCCAGTTTTTCCTACAAACTATAAGTTAAAGGGCTAGTTTTTAGATGAATTATTGTATAGAATATCATCTTAGACATTTTTTAAAATTTCTGGTAATGTGAAACAATTTATATGCTTTTAAACATAAATGGTGTAGTTTTTCAAAACTGGCAAAATTCTGAAATGTCAGAAAAATTATTCAGCTTTGGTTTTATGTTTGCTAATTATAAGTTGCCATCATTTCGAATAAACCATAATAAACAGAAAAGCAGAGTGCTGTTGAAGGCTATGTACAGATGGTAAGGGAGGTGATATTTTTGTCTTTCTTTAGTTCAGATGTCAACAGAACATTTAAAGGTTTTCTTTTTCTTGAAGGTCAGCACTCCCACCATAGGTTAGTGTTTTAATAATCTAATGGGTTAAATTATATTACTTTCAAGTGCACCAGAATACTCTGTTCCTATGTAAATAATCTTATATTACCTAACTTAATTTTGATGAGCTACAGTGTTTTTGGGAAGGATCATAAAATATGTTTTTTATGAGAGTTACCATGTAAAGGAGTCTGAATAAGGGAGTCTTTGGAATTTAGGACATAGATTTAATTTCTCATAATAACTTTACTTGTAGAATTTAAATATCTTGGCATCTTCAGGCAGAGCAATCCAATTTTGACCTTGGGCTGGGTTTGTGGAAGGGAAGAGATGAATATTTCATTCTGATGCAGTGCCCAGTGTGTGCTTGGCCAAGGAGGGAAGAGAAAAACAAACTAAGAAGTATAAATACTATAAAGTAATACACAAATACAGTACTAACACAAATACAGAAGATCAGTGATTTTAGTGCAACAGCCTACTTTGTGTATTGGGGTATCAAGAGTGTCAATTGACAGGCTGAACTGGAAGTGATCTGTCATGCTCTCTTCAGATTTCAGACACAAACAGCTAAGCAGCAGCTACCACAGGCAAGTGTATTGTGTCTCAGCTTGTCAAGATAGTAGCAAACACTCAAGAGACCTTTGACTTGAATTTGTTTCACAAGAAGTATATTTTACTGCCACATTTCACAGTGGTGGAAAAAGACATAAAAGCAAGAATCAACATGTAAGGGTGTTTGTGGTATAAACTGGAATGATGGAAAGTTCCTGTGTCCTGTAAAATTTATTAGTTTCCATAGTGGGAAGCTGATTCAGTTTTTGATTATATGAAATCAGAATTCTGAAATGGAAGGTTTCATAAATCCAACTCTTTTCACACATGGCTTCTTAGATAGTTCCTTCCCTTCTCTTTCTTTTCTTTTTAAAAAGTGTTTCTTTAGAGCAATTAATTTTTCCAAGGGGCCTCATGGTAACTGGGACTGTTGTGGAGGGCTGAATCAATAGACTGAACTTAATTCTGCTCAGTATTAATTTTATTGCTTTATAAAGAATAGTAAATTATATGGTTTTGATTAGTTGCTACTGGTAAGAGTACATATTACATCTTATTTACATTTGATTTCTAATTTCCAGTTAACCTCATGAGGGCTAGGCAGAGACAGCCAAAGGGTCGGCTGCCACCTGGGAGATAGTAAAATGCCCAGATCTGCTCTAGAAAAATAGAGGAATAAATATACTGTACAATAGATGAAGGTGATCTATTAGGCTTTTGTTGCATGATTGTAGTTTTTAATAATGCTACAAGAACAAGATACTTAGTGATGTTATAAGAATGATGCACTTAGCATTCCAATTTTCTCTTGGGCTTAAAGTCTTTTTGAAAAGGCATCTTCACTGGAATGCCATTACTAACAAGACTTTCTCTTTTTCTCTGAACCTATTGTAGGATTGTTTTCCTCCTTGTGGCTTCTGTGGATACCATGTGGGAAGATTCCTTCAGCAGCTACAAGGCTTTTGTTGCTAGTAAGTTACATTTAATATATAAATATGTCATAACCTAATACAGTGATGGCGAACCTTTTAGAGACCAAGTGCCCAAACTGCAACCCAAAACCCACTTATGCATCGTCGGGTGCCGGGTGGGTGTGGCCCATTGGGTGGGTGTGGCCCATTGATTGGGCATGGCTGTGGTAACAGCAGACTGGATGGGACTAAAAAGTTCAATCAATCAATTCCAACTTTGCAAGTTTTTTTTCTCCCTGCGAGAAGTTGAAATTGACTGATTGATTGAACCTTTTTTTTTTTTTTGTACACAGTGGCGGAGGCCTAAAGTGAAAAGGTTTTATAAAACCCAGCAGAAGGCCTAGGACTGGGGCGACAGCACGCCTGCCCACAGAGAGAGCTCTGAGTGCTGCCTCTGGCACCCGTGCCATAGGTTCGCCACCATGACCTAATATATTGCTTGTGTCTTCTATCTTCATTCTGTGGAGAGGAAAGGGCAGTTATGATTCTGAAAACACAAATGTGATGAGGGAGCAGAAAATGTCGGAAGAAACCAGTGTATTAGAAGATGGTTGAATAAATTCAATTTCTATTCTTTGTTTAATATATTTGAGAACAAAGGAAAATACCAGTTTATTCAAAGACTGTTTTCATTTAAATTGAAGAAACATAAAGCTTTTAAAATGGCAATCAGTTTCATTGAGGCTTGTTACCACATATAGTTAAATAGCTTTAATTAACAAAATGAGTATCCTTAGGTTCTTCAAACAACCTGATCTTAAGGATTTTTGTTACCTTCTTTCTTCATTGTTCTATATCCTTTGCTTTTTTCTGTTTTTGGAAAAGATTTTAAAAAACCCTATTTTAGTACCTTCTTCAACTAACAAAACACTATCACTGCTTCTTTTCTTTTTGTGCAGGATAAAAATCTGAGACTGTAATATATTTAGATGAAATGTAACTGTAGATTATAAATTTAAATTTCACATGTAAAGCTTGAAATTCAGTTCTCCTGACCATCTACAACCAGTGTGACTACACAACAACCAAAAAGTCTTGCTGTTGCTAGTCATCTGGTGTTCTGCAGATGACTAGTTTTCCTACCATGTTTCCCCCAAAATAAGATCAGGCCTTATTTTATTTTATTTTGCCTCTGAAAGAGGCACCAGGTCTTATTTTCAGGAGATGTCTTACCTCCGGCACTGACAGCCCCGCCCAGCAGGTCCACTTCTTATGGAGTTGAAGGAATAGCTTCATTCTGCATTTTGCAATCAGGCCTTTCCGGAAGGCCTCTGCAGCCGAGTACCGAGCTATGGATTGAATCCTATTCTTGGCATGATTCAAACTTAGCTGCCAGTAATCTGTATTTTGATCATTCCACCCTTTCTGAGAAAAGAAAGATTAATTAAACTGCTAAAATATAGCTTGGAAAAAAACTAACTTATGCTGTGGAAAAATATCTTTTATCTTGGCCACCTTCCATTTGGAGTATGCTGGCTGGAGATGAAGTTGGGAGATGAAGTTCTGACATACCTGGGTGGGCATCAAGTTGGAAAAAGAACCTCTATACATTCCTGAAACAACCAATGAGATGGTTTGCCAGTGACAACTTCATGGAACTAGAATGAAATGAGAAATGTGAGCCTTTGATTTTTGGCAATACTAGTGGCTTTAGCTTCTTTAGGCAAACAGTTCACAATTTTGCATTAACACAATACTGGCTGTACATTTTTTATTATTACTACCTATAACATATTAAATGCAATAGAATATGATACTAAGATGTAACTATTACCTAATATTAATTAGCTTTTAGTGATAAACTTAATAAATCTGCACAGTGAAATCTTTCAGAAAGTGTGTGTGCTCTTAAATGATATTTCTGGATACAGTTTGAAAAGCAAAGATCTGCTCTTTAAAATGATGAATTTGCAATTTGTGCCTACTTTCTATATATCCTTTGACCTGGACATTGCATTAACGTCTGTTACTGTGGGAGTCTGTACTTAATTAGAATCAATAAAACAGCCAATATGAGCAGAAAAAAATAGCCTTCTATTTGAAGGGTATACTATGATCAGTTTATTACAAAATGGCCCCTTCATCATCTAATTTATGTTGGTTGCCCAGATTTTTGATAGCTGTTATTTTTTTTCTAGTACTGAGAATTTAAAATACTTTAAAAAGTATTCATTTTTAATCCCTGATATTGCTGACTTGGTATTTGAGACACAACCTCCTTTTTCAAATTGATTTAATCTATAATTGTTGACTTCTTGAACAAATATATTATTTGGAGATAAAAGCAATTCCATGATGTTAAGAATTTTACAGTAATTTTAATGAACCTTACTTAAGACCAAGTTACACTTGGAGGCAGCCTATATGGCAGCATTTTCTTTTTCATTTGAAGGTAACTGCTGCTTATAATTGGCATTTATTGTGCTATATGGAGAAATACATCAAATACAAACTGTCTGCTTTATGGAAAATAAATTTGCATGGTGAAATTTCCTGCGTCTATCCAGATAGAACCTTCTTGCAAGTACAGGTAATTGCAATTGGGACCAGCAACTCACTGGTGAAATAAAGTGATTATAAAGTGAAAAATCATTTGAGAAGAAAGGATTACAAGAGAGTAAGGCAGCCCACAATGTGGAATACACATTTTTAGCAAAGTGCTAGTACTGGCTTTTTTTTAAAAAAAAAATTGAACTGCTTATGAGGCAAAGAAGCTTTAATGTAAAACTGACTAGGGCAGTGGTTCTCAACCTGTGGGTCGGGACCCCATTTGGGGTTGAACGACTATTTCACGGGGGTCGCCAAACAACGCAGTCTGCCATTTTTCCCCTTTTCCCTGTGCTACTCCCTTTTATTCTATTGGCTTTTGAAAGCCAATAGAATTAGACTCTCTTGAATAGAGTCTAATTCTATTGGCTTTCAAAAGCCAATAGGAATTGTCCAGGCTCTCTCTGCCCTGCTGAGCCTGCCAAAAGTCCCATTCTGCAAACGGTGCTGCACCAGTTGAGTAGTCCTCGACTTATGACCGGTTGAGTAGTCCTCAACTTACGACCGGTTGGGGGTCGCGGCATTAAAAAGGTTGAGAACCACTGGACTAGGGTCTTGTCAATTTGAGGCAGCTGCTGCAAGCTGGTTAATTAAGGGCACAGCTGAGCCTGTTACCTTGCCATTAGCACTTTTTAGGGAAGACTGTGCCGGCAAAGAAGAGCAGCTCAGGAACTGATAGCTTAATTATACATCTCTGCTCTGCTAGAAAGGGAAGGAAAAAATGGGTCAAGAACAGGAGAATGTGTATTAACGTACTGTAATGGTGAAGGAAGATGAATGAGAAAGGCATTGGCAAAGATCAGAAATGCAGATGTTGGTCACAAAGTTACTTTTTCATCACTGTCATCACTACAAACAATTAACAAGGACTATCTGCATAGTCATATTTGAAAATTAGAATTAAGTCTCCCTTAGTCATATTTCACATTTTACCATCTGGAACTGTGTCAAGTAATGTTCCCAGCCCCTCTGGTTTCATAATGCTTAATTTTCTTTTGCATCTTTTCAGTTACCAGGTATGTTGATTTTATTTTTCAAGAAAATGCCTCATTAATATCTTTTTGTTTATATATTGTATTAAAACATTGTTGAATAAGTTACACTAGATTGGATTCACATATTGGTTAGTATATAAATTGTGATTGACATACAATAGTTGGATTTCCACAAGAAGCTAACCCAAAGCTAAGCAGAACTAAATAGGTTAGCATAATGTGTGATTCCCATCTATTTGTATTAATAGGAAGATACACTTTCTTGGGAAAAGTATGTAATGTTTTAACACATGGAAAATTCCATATTTGTTTCTGGCTTTCTTCTAAACTTCTAAAGAATCTAGTACAAGTTTAGGCAAAAGAGATTCAAAGATAGAGAAGGTAGTAATATTCATACTGTAAATATCTGGAAGAAGATGCCTTTTCTTTGTAACAACTCTGGTTAATTATGATTCCCATAATCAAGTGATTATGAACCTTATTGGTCCAAGGCTAATTTTCAAGTTGTTTCAGAGTTCTGGGATCTGTACAGATAGTTCTCGACTTACAATCACAATTGAGCCTAAAATTTCTGCTGTTAAGCAAGACAGTTAAGAGTTTTGCCCCATTTTACAACCTTTCTTGCCACAGTTGTGAAGTGCATCACTGCAGTTATAAATATATTCCTGTTATAAATACATTCCTGTTATACATTCCAGCTGTCAAGCATCTGAATTTTGATAATGTGACTATGGGGTATGCTGCATTGTAAGTATGAAAAAAAGGTCACAGGTTTCATTCTTCAGTGCTGGTGTAACTTTGAATGGTCACTACATGAATGGTTGTTAGTTGAGGACTACCTGTATAGAAACACATTTTGTACATGTGCTATCTCCTTTTTGCTGTGAATCTCGCATTTATGAATTGGAGAAAGAGTGTTAATGTTTGATAAAGGAATTTCAGTGCAAAGTTTAGACAACAGTAACTGTCTGGTATGTAGTTTAACCATAGAGCTTCATCAATGTATGTAGATGATTTTGTTCAGTAAGCTTCCAGGTCCTGTACTTTTTGTTTTTAAAATCAGCGTCAAGTCCCATTAACAAATGTCCTTCCGATTTTACAAAAGACATACTAGAAAACATGAAAATCAGACAATGTTCAGTGTAGGTGCACAATAGTTCATAGTCAGTTTATCCTGATGCTGAGAGTGAGATGCTGAGGTTTCAAATGATGCAGTCCAAAATTAAAAATTCTCCCTCTGTAGTAAGGAGTAAAGCATTAGCAAAGCCATTCCTGCAAAGAATGAATGTTAATTAAAACAAACACTTACACTGTGTACAAAGTATGCAATGCCCAATAGCCTTCTGGAAGGAATGTTTCATCACTACAGAAACATTAATGCAAACATTTCTTAGCATGCCCCAAAGCTGAACTTGTAATTTAATGGTGAAAAAAAGGTCCAAGTGGGTGTAAGTATGT